GACGACGACGACGACGACGAACGACGACGATGGAGGACGACGACGACGACGACGACGACGACGACGACGACGACGACGACGACGACGACGACGACGACGACGACGACGACGACGACGACGACGACTACTACTACTACTACTACTACTACTACTACTACGACTACTCTTTTTCATGTTCATCGATCCCCATCCTTCATGCCTGGCCCTCCGCTCGTCCATCCACCCCTCCTCCTACTCCTCCTCCATTTTCTCCTCCCCGCTCCCTCCCCCTGATCCTCTCCTGACAAGGAGCGGTAGAGGGGAAATGGCATGGGGCGGGGCATCGACCTGGAATCGGCGAATCATCGCCGATAGATCGGCAAGTGGCCCCGATCGTGAATCCTCACGGATTGGGGGTCGATGTGTCCCCCTATGTATATCCCCTGTGTCGTTGTCTCTCATGCTCTACTCGGACCACATATTGTATTACATATATAATTGCGACTGCACCGCTGCGCCACTGGCCAACGATTTCGCGATAACACAAGGATGTGCGTTCGGCCCGCCGCACCCCACTGCGCTACACGCGCTTAGTCTGTAAACGATCAGTGCTTGACCTTATGAAGAAGCGTGGCAGGCGTACCAAGCGAATGGTATGTGATCGATCCTCCTCTATCCTATTTCTCCTGCTCGCTGTAGCAGAACCCATCTTTTTCCTGAAGAGGGGACAACAAGCCCATCCTCAGTATGACCTCGGCAAGCGAGGCCCTGCAGCAAACGCACCTTACACGGAAAACGCCCAGAACCCGTCATTAGACGCCAACTATGGATGGTCGAGGTGTCTGTTTGCATCCGTTCACTTCCCCTCTGCCTCATTCCGCCCTCCCCCTTACGCTCGAGGAAGTTTTTTTTTTTTTTTTTTTTTTTTTTGTTTTTTATATAATATATATATATATATATATATATATATATATATAAAGTAAAGGCGCTTGGGGAGATGACCCCGCGCGGCCGACCATCGACAACCACCAGCTCTTTTGACCTTCGCGCGTAGTGTGTAGGTCGGGCATGTCTTCCCACTGGCAGATTTGGGAAGACACATCAAGCGCCGCGGGAGCAAGGGGCGGGGTCTGGCCCGCTGCGCCTCGCTGCCGCCCTCAGCGGGGGAGCCTCTGCTGCTGAAGAGGCTGAAGCGGTGTCCAAAAAGATGGAGGAGGATGCGGATGAGGAGGAAATGGAGGAGGAGGAGGAGGACGACGACGACGAGGAGGAGGAGGATGAGGAGGAGGAGGGAGGAGGAGGACGGAGGAGGGAGGAGGAGGATATCCACGAGCCTTACACGAATCGGTGCCGACTCGCCCGCCGCGGGGGCCTGGTCTCCACCTGAGGAGACAGACCCCCGGACCGTGAACTGGATGCAGTCGACGGCTTTCCACGGGGGCCCGCCCCACGGGCAAGGCCCCCGACCGTGAGGTACACCTCGCACTGCGGGCCGTCGGGCTCAAGGATGCCGACGAGCACCGCGATGCCCGCGGGGGGGGGAGGGGCGAGGGCCCTGCGCACGTAATTAGTCGCGAGGCAGCCTACCCCCCCCCCCCCGCTGCTCCTCCCGCGGCCGCCCAGACGGGGCACCGGGCCGCCAGCGCCACGTGGACCACCGCGCGCTCGACGGCCATCGTCCGCTCCGCTGCCCCCGCCGCGCGCGCCGTCGGACACGGCCGCGAGCTCCTCGAGCTCGACGGCCATTGCGACAAGCACGCCGTGGTCGAAGGGCACCTCGGATGCGGGTAGGGGCAAACCCGCGCACTGCCTCAGGCGGAAGACCAGCTTCCTCAGCTGCCACACCTCGAGGTAGTCATGCGTGTCCTTGCCGCCGAACTCGCCGTCTTTGCTCGTGCCCTTGCCTTTACTTCCGCGCGAGCCTGTGCTGGCAGGCGGGCCTCGAGGCTGCCTCACCACGGGCAGGTCGTCAGTCCAAGCGTCATCCTCCAGCATCTGCTGGACGTCGGCCGCCGCCTCCGCCGCCGCCGCACCGTGCCCAACTCCGTCAGCATCAGGGCGTCGGGTTGCTCCTGCGCCACGCCTGCTCCCGTTCCGCCGCGGCCGCGCGGTCGGCGGCGCCCTCGAGGCGCCACCGCGGAGGCCGTCGCGCCCGCAGGCGACGGGGCGCCAGGTGGCGCGTGCAGCTCTGAACTGCTGTGCGAAGGAGGCCCTCGGCCGCGCGGAGCAACCGCGCGGCGGAACGCCACCCATCGGCGACGGCCAGGCCCGCGGCCGCGTGCACCGCCATGAGCGCCCCGCGGGCGGCTTCCAGCGGCGCCGCAGCGAGTGCTCCAGTCTTCTGCGTACGGGGCCTGCGGGCGCGTCGAACTTGAGCCAACACAGTACGACGAGGAGGAGGAGGAGGAGGAGGAGGAGGAGGAGGGGGGGGAGGAGGAGGAGGAGGAAAGGGGAGGGCAGGAGGGGGAGGAGGGGAGGAGGAGGAGGAGGAGGAGGAGGAGGAGGAGGGAGGAGGAGGAGGAGGAGGAGGACGAGGACGAAGGACGAGAGGAGGGGGGGAGGGGAGGAGGAGGAGGAGGAGGAGGAGGAGGAGGAGGAGGAGGGGAGGATGAGACGAGGAGGAGGGGGAGGAGGAGGAGGAGGAGGAGGAGGAGGAGGAGGAGAGGAGGAGAGGAGGAGGAGAGGAGGAGGGGGAGGAGGAGGAGGAGGGGAGGAGGAGGAGGAGGAGGAGGAGGAGGAGGGGGAGGAGAGGAGGACGGGGGGGGGAAAGGAGGAGGAGGAGGAGGAGGAGGAGGAGGAGGGGAGGAGGAGGAGGAGAAGGAGGAGGAGGAGGAGGAGGAGGAGGAGGAGGAGGAGGAGGAGGAGGAGGGAGGAGGACGAGAGGAAGGAGGAGGGAGGAGGAGGAGGAGGAGGAGGAGAGGAGGAGAGGAGGAGGAGGAGGGGAGGAGGGAGGAGGAGGAGGAGGAGGAGGAGGAGGAGGAGGAGGATAACGGAGGAGGAGAGGAGAAGGAGGAGGGGGAGGAGGAGGAAGAGGAGGAGGAAAAGGGGGAGGAGGAGGAGGAGGAGGAGGAGGAGGAGAGGAGGGGAGGAGGAGGCGGAACAGGAGGAACAGCAGGAGGAGGAGGAGAGGGCGGAGGAGGAGGAGGAGGCGGAGAGGAGGAGAGGAGGGGAGGAAGGAGGAGGAGGAGGAGGAGGAGGAGGGGAGGAGGGGAGGGAGGGGAGGAGAAAGAGGAGGAGGAGGAGGGGGACGGAGGAGGAGGGGAGGAGGGGAGGAGGAGGAGGAGGAGGAGGAGGAGGAGGAGGAGGAGTAGTGAGGAGGAGGGGAGGAGGAGGAGGAGGAGGAGGAGGGGAGAGGAGGAGGGAGGAGGGAGGAGGAGGAGGAGGAGGAGGAGGAGGAGGAGGGGGAGAGTGCTCCAATGGAAGGGCCGAGGTCAGCGCTTCGCAGACCGATTTCCTCGGCGATTTTTGCATGGAGCTCGGCGGGGGATGAGGAATCCCCTCCCCCTCCCCCGCTCCTCTCGGCTGCACGCTAGAGTGACCCTGGGTGAGAGTGACCTTTGGTGCGCGGATTTGTGGGGGCCGCGGGGGGACGAAACACAAGCACGCAAGACGCCACTTCGCATCGCGTTCGGCGATCGTGGGGATCCATTTGACCCGCACCAAAGGTCACTCGGGCGAAAGGTCACTCTTACGTCTAGTCGATCCTCTGCCGTCCTCGAAGCCGCGGTCCTCACCCGGCCCAGATCCGCTCCACTCCAAGAGACTTAAGACTCGGGTTCGGGGGACCTGAAATTTGGCGCGAACTCCCGCTGCAAACATCCCACGAAGACAGGACCGTCAAAATCCAAGACGCGCTCGTCAAGCAACGTCGGCAAGCTGAAGTTCCAGCGCACTCCAGCCTTACGTTTCCCCGATATGAGTCGGCATACAGACAGACACTTTCGAAGGCCGCGCGAATTCTGCCGGCGCTGGGAGGATCCAGCGCCGCCAGGGGGGTCCCGCGCCCCCACCCCCAAAATAAACTTGAACACGCACGCGCGGATGCCTGTATGAGCTGCTACTCCTCGAGCGTGAGCGGTCGAGCCCCTCCCCCGAAGACATTCCTGGAGGCCTCGCGCGGCACCTTGAGACCCGATTTACGTCGGATCCACGTCGTGCTTACGTCGGGTTCACGTCGGACTACGTCGGAATCACGTCGGCTCTACGTCGCACCGACGCCGGAGCACCGCCGCCCGAGCGTCGACCCATAGCTCTTACGGAGCCGACGTGGACTAGGCGATACAACCATCACGCGCCGCGCGAGGCCTCCAGGATTCTCCTCGCAACGTTCCCGCTGGAACGGCACCGTTCCCCGATCCCCACCCGACCCCAGGACCCCTCCCCGGGGCCCGCCCTGGCCGCGAGCCTGCCGCGTCGTGCCCGGCCGTGGCAGGTCGCGCGCGCGCGCCCACGGAGAGGCCCAAAAAGCAGCTCTCGGGCGCGAGGACGGCGCCGCCGCCGTCTGGGATGCGCTCGTGGGCAGGCGCGATCCACGGCTCGCCAAGGGGCTGCCGTTTGCACGTGAGCGTCGATCGACCACGGGCCTTACGCGAGATGTCACAGCGACCTTACGCGGTGGCTTACGCGGGCCGCCAGCGCGGCACGCCACAGTGGAGACGAGGGCGCCCACGCGCCACCTTACGAGGGCAGCTTGCGCGCCAATGTCGGCCCAGACGACTCCGTTTTTGTCCTCGCTCAAATGGCCTGGATCCATCGCGGGGGAGTTCTACGATCCACTACCTCGAGGCAGCCGCGCGTGTTCGGACGTTTGCGAGCAGGTACTCTGCGAGAAAAGGAACGCGCTCGGTGGGCTCGAAAGAGCGACGATCAGACACGGGTCTTACGCGAGATGTCTTAGCGACCTTACGTCGCAGCTTATGCTAGCCTCCGGTGCGGCACGCTCTATTAGACGCGAGGGCGCTTACGTGCTATCTTGCCTGGGCGGCTTGCGCGCGAATGTCTGCGAAGACGACCCCATTTCTGCGTCGCTTTAAAGGGATTGGGGTGGACGGGGTCGAGGGATTCGCGGTGCATCGCCGATGCATCGGCGATGCACCACAAGCCCTCCAGATCGCGCCGCATCGCCGATGCATCGGCGATGAGGCGCGGTCTTGCGCCGCGACCCTATCTGCTCCGCCCCCCGTCTGGGAAACCTGGAAGATCGAAGACAAGGCCTTAGATTTATTTGGACACCAGACATGGGTACGGAAACAATAAGCACGCTGCCTCGCAACAGGTGTTGTGCAAAACCAACAGCGGCCGCTGCTGGGCAGGCCGCCATCCTCTGCCTCAAGTGGGCTCCGCCCGCGGCGACGCCGACAGCAAGTCCTGCCCAACATGAGCAAGAACTGCTGTCGGTCTTTGTGCCAAGCCATTCCGTACCCAGATCTGCAGGAGAGCTCAGAATCGAATCGGTAAGTCGAATCGGCGATCGAAATGAATCGGATCGGCGGAAATCGGCAGCCAAGTCGGGAGGAATCAAATCGGCTGAAATCGGCAGGCCTCATTGAGAAATCGGAATCCAAATCAGAATATGAAGTCGAATTGAATCGGAATCGGAAGCCATCGAAATCAAATCGAATCAAATCGGAAAAAACGAAACGAGCCACGACATCGGTCGTCCCGATGAGAAACCCCAGACTCGCCCGAGGATCTCCGGAGCGAAACCGGCATGGCACGATGCGATCTGTTCGATCCGCGGCCACAGACCGCCCGATCTGTCCACGCGGGCAATTCTTCTTGGCCCTGGGGTCCGTTTGGGATGGCCCTGGGCCTGGCAACGGGACCCAAGGAAGCCTGGCATCGAAGATCCACGACCGGATCAAACAAGAAGAGGCCTTCGGAGGTCTGGGACCGCGTCGTGACCAGCGGCGTCGTCATCTCGGAGCCTCGGAAGCCGACATCGACACCAGGATCCCGTGGCTCAAACGTACCATCAGTGCAACTTCCTGCCGTACCAGAACTGTTGATGCCGACGAGCATGCTCGTTTCAACTCGTTTCTGGCGTTGGCAGGACTTGGTTCAGTGGGACCTGGCTCAGTGATGCGTGCTGGGGGGCGCCCCCCCGCCCCATTCTGCTACCGGAACTGCCGCCACCCGAAGAAACACCAACTACGGCAGACCTGGTTCAATGACCCCAATCCATATTTTGGGCTTCGGGGCCCAATCACTGACCGGCTTCCCTTAACCAGGGTCCTGGCCACAGTAAGAGCTCGACCAAAAGAAACCTTCCACAAGGAGCCCAACCCAGAGACCCTAGGACGCCCATTGATTATTGGTGTGGGAACGTCACGCTTTCCAGTGCAAGAGCATCGAAACCTAAGAAACCCAAGGCACCCTGGAAGCAGACAGGGTGTTCCTTGGCATGAGCTTCCACTGCACGGCAGACCTGGCTCAGCGATTCCAATCCATATTTTGGGCTCCGGGCCCCAATCACTGACCGGCTCCCCTCAACAGGGGTCTTGGCTATATCCGATCGTGCTGAGCCATTCAGTTAACCCGCATCATAAGGATGCGCGACAAGGGTGCAAGTGCCTTGGACGCCCATTTCCAAGCTCTTCGAGCGGGGCGCGGCTTACGAAAGTGGCCAAGGATGGACCGAGGAAGCAAAGATGAAAAGGTACCCCTACCGGTTTCCCCCGGGGCCGTAGGCGACCCGAGGAGGAGGTGGAGAAAGGGGAGGAGGAGGAGGAGGAGGAAGAGGAGGAGGAGGAGGAGGAGGAGGAGAGGAGGAGGAGGGCGGGAGGAGGAGGAGGAGGAGGAGAAGGAGGGAGGAGGAGGAAGAGGAGGAGGAGGAGGAGGACGAGGAGGAGGAGGAGGAGGAGGATGAGGAGGAGGAGGAGGAGGAGGAGAGGAGGAGGAGGAGGAGGAGGGAGGAGGAGGAGGAGGAGGAGGAGGAGGAGGAGGAGGAGGAGGAGGAGGAGGGATGAGGAGGAGGAGGAGGAGGAGGAGGAGGAGGAGGAGGAGGAGGGAGGAGGACATCCCGAAGGGTGCCAAAACACCATGCTCAGGATTCCAATGTCACGAGTCAACCTGACTGCTGCGTCTTGGCTATCCTGAATCGCGCCAGAACACCATTCCTAGGAGTTTGACACCGCAAATCAACGTAAAGGTTGTACCCTGGCAATCCAGAATTGCTCCCAAACGCCATTTCTGGTACATTAACCAAGCGAAAACGACATTCTGATGTTACAGAAGAGCTGCCCTCAATCCGTGAAACTGCTGCATGTCTAACATCGTTTTAAGTTATGACAACGACTATGCGCGGTGCTAAAAACAAACACCACACTTTGAAAAAGAACCGCCCTCAATATGTGAAACTCTTGTGCTACATTAAAATATGCGCGACACTAAAGCGATAACCCCATTTTGAGAAAAATCCGCCGTCGATCCGTGGAACTCTGGCGGCCCGCCCTCAATCCATGAAGCTCGTGCAATTTGTTAAAACGAATGTGCGCAACGCTAGAGCGAGAACCCCATTTTGAAAATCAACAGCCCTCAATCCGTGAAACTCTCGCGAACTTTGAAAACGAATTTGCGCGGCGCTAAAACTCCACTTTGAAGACGAACCGCCCTCAATCCGCGAAGCTCTTCCGAACTTGTGAAACTAATGCGCGCAGACCCAAGGCCAGAGCCACATTTTGGAAGCGACCCGCCCTCCATGTGTGAAGCTGTTGTCAGTTTGAAGCTTCAGGCTCATGCCTTGCAGAGAAGTATCGAGCGAAACGCCCGGCCCGCCCTTCTAAGTGGCCTCGGGGTGCGACAGGGAGAAGTTACTCATCAGGGAAAAGACTGTAGCTCCTCAGCAATGGTCCAAGAGGAGCGTCGTCGTCGTGGTCGTCGCCGTCGACATCACCCTCGCCGTCGACGCCGCCGTCGCCCTCGCCGAAGAAGCCGTCGCCGTCGCCGTCGCCGTCGCCGTCGCCGTCGCCGTCGCCCTCGCCGTCGCCGTCGCCGTCGCCGTCGCCGTCGCCGTCGTCGTCGTCGTCGTTGTCGCCGCCGTCGTCGTCGTTGTCGCCGCCGTCGTCGTCGTCGTCGTCGTCGTCGTCGTCGTCGTCGTCGTCGTCCTCCGGCCTCAGGGGCTCGCGGGAGGCGCCCGCCGCGGCGGCGCCCTCCGCGTGCGCGGCCGCCGCGAGGCGCAGGTGTGCCGCGCGGTCCTCCCGGGCCTCCGCCTGGGGAGGGGGGGCGCGCGGCGCCGGGGCCCACGGGAGGAGGGGGGACAGGAGGAGGAGGAGGAGGAGGAGGAGGAGGGGGAGGAGGAGGAGGAGGAGGAGGAGGAGGAGGGGAGGCAGGAGGAGGAGGAGGAGGAGGAGGAGGAGGGGGAGGAGGGGGGGACGGGAAGGAGGAGGGAGAAGGCGAAGGAGGAGGAGGATGAGGAGGAGGAGGAGGAAAAAGAGGAAGAGAAGGGGGCGGGCGAGGAGGGGGAGGCGGAGGAAGAGCAGGAGGAGGGGGCGGAGGAAAAGGTGGAGGAGAAAAGGCGAAGGAGGAGGAGGAGGAGGAGGAGGAGGAGAGGAGGAGGAGGAGGGAGTGATGGAGGGAGGGAGGATGGAGAGGGGTGAGGGGGAGGAGGAGGGGGAGGCGTGTAGCTTCGTCTGAACACTATTTACAGCCTCCTGAAGCCAGGAGCCGGGGGGAGGCGGCGGAGGAAAAAGGTGAGGATGAGGAGGCGGATGAGGAGAAAGAGAAGGAGAAGGAAAAGGGAAAGGATGCTGATGATGATGATGATGATGATGATGATGCTGATGATGATGATGATGAGGAGGAGGAGGAGGAGGCGGAGGGGGAGGAGGGTGGGGGGCGGAAGATGAGGAGAGGGAGGAGCATGATGGGGCACAGGTGGTGTCCAAGGGAAATAAATCAAAACGGTTCATGAAAAAGGGAGTTTGAAATCCAGGTGGATTTGTTCTCTAACCCCAGCTTGGGTCAGTCCCCTCTCTCCGAACACCCGATGAAGTGGGGTCCCTCCTCCCTCCGCCCGCTTCCTTCTGCTCCTCCCCCTCCCCCTCCCCCTCCCTGTTCACATCCTTCATTACTTATTGTATGAATACCTCCTCCCTGCCGAAACCCGAGGCGTGTCGAGCGCTCGAAGGCCTTCCTAGGGCCGTCACAGACGCTTCCAAAGCTTCTGGGCGTTCCAGAAGTCTCGAGCGCGGAAGATACCCGTACCCTTACCTAGACAGGGTGGCAAGGGGCCGGGGGGGCGGTTCGTCGCAGCTGACGGCGGCTGCACACGTGTAGAAACGACAGCCGATCGAGCATTGCAGACCGCTGTCTTCTCGGGGCCCACGTTAGCACCGATCGCACGTGCGTTCGAATCGGCGGAGCGCCCGACCCTGCGTTGGTTGTTGTCAACGTAGACCAGCTACTGCGGAAGCGCGCCCCCGGACACACATCCGGGCGTTGAGGGGTCAACGCGTACTCGGGGGCGCCAGCGAACAACTCTGGCGCGAACGTCATTGCGCGACAACCACCCTATCGCGAATTGCTCGATGCAGAGACATCGCGAATCTGTGCCGTGGGCGAGGTCGCCAGAGGCCGCCCCCCTTGGACGGCCGTCTGCGGATCACCCCAACTAAGTACGGTTGGCCCATGCAAACCCCCAAAACATACCCGTACCTAGCCGGGGTGCCGCAGCTCACCCCAGCGAGGTCCGGGTATGTTTCGGTGGTTTCAGGCAGGTCCCCGTACCTAGCCGAGGTGGCGGCAGGCCCAAAAAGCTCTCGAGCACATATCATGCCCCCCAGAGCCGTCCCCGACGTGGCCGCTGCGGCCCCCTGGGGGCGCGACATTGCAACGTCGGTCCTCAGGGCAGGCCCAGACGCATTGGTTGCCAGGATCGCGAAGAAATGCACATCTTTATCGATTGGGACAGGCGCCGCCACGCATGGGCGGTTTTGAACCGCGCGCGCACCACGATGCCCCGAGACGTCCCTAACAAAAACCAGCGCGTGTCGCTGCAATCAGACACCCAACCATCGAGCGCGCCGTTGCGTCTTGACGCGCGGATGCTGCACTGGCGCGCGCGGGGCAAGCTGACCGAGCCCAATAGCAAGCGCCAATCCCCCGGACGGCCCATCTCACCTTGGCTGGCCCCGGGTACGGGTATGTTTCGGACCAATGAAGAAGCTGCCCCAAGGCTCCCAGGGCCTTCCCAAAGCGCTCCTGGGTGTGCGGTTCAGGGGAAACAGCCGACGACGTGCTCGAGGAAACCTCGAGAACCGATGAACCTAAAACTGCCCACTCGCAAACCCTGGAACTCGACACGGAAAGGGGGTACGTTGCGCCCCGTGTCCCACTTCAGCGCCTCTGCTCATCCTCTGGGTCTCCTGTGAGACTGTGACGTCCTGAGACAATAAAAACGACGCGAAGATCGGGACAAAATCGGATCGGGATAACTCGAAATCTCTGAGCATCGGCGGGTTTGGAGGATGTATTGGGCGCCGCGGCCGCTCCAGAGCGTTCCAGAACGCTCTGGGAGCGCTCCGGAACGCTCTGGAGCGATTTATCCCGATCCTAGCCCTGTTTTAACAATCCACAACCGCTCGCACAATACTGCTTCGAAGCTCCGCGCGGACCTCTTGGATTGGCGCGCCCGACCGGACATACCTTGGGTGGACGCCAGGGGGCCCAGCGCCGACCCGAGAGCTCCGAGGGGGACCTCCGCGAGGGGAGCGAGGACGGCCGATGACGAGCCCACCCATCGGGCGCGGCCCAACCGACGCTTCGCAGACCATCCCGTGCCGTGACGTCCTGCTCGCCTCTCGAGCTCCCATCTGGCCGCACGCATACGTCTGGGGGCGAGGCGAGGGGGACGGTTTGCTGCGGGTCGGGTCGGCCACCCCTGAAACCAATCGCAGCCGCAGCCGTCGTCGTCGTCGTCGTCGTCGTCGTCGTCGTTGCCGTCGCCGTCGTCGTCGTCGTCGTCGTCGTCGTCGTCGTCGTCGTCGTCGTCGTCGTAGCTGTCGCCATCGCCACCGTCGCTGCTGGCGGCGCCACTCAGAAGGTCGCCGCCGCCGCCGTCGCCGCACTCGGCATCGCCACCGCCGACCGCCGCGGCTGGCGCCGACAGCCGCCGCCGTCGTCGACCGCCGCAGCCGTCGCCGCCGCCGCCGCCGTCGGAGGAGGGGGAGTGGGAGGAGGAGGAGAAGGAGGAGGATGAGGAAAAGGAGGAGCACCAGTGTAAGCCCAATAGTCATTAACGATGTTGGAAAAAAGACCCTCCCTCCAAGCTCCCTCTAAACAAGCCCGTACAACGGTTCATTTCCGCTTAGGGAACTGCCTCGTTGGAAGTCAACCGTTTGAAGATCCTGAAGCGTGCCACACCATTATTCTCGGGACTCCAACGCCACAGATCAACCTGACATTTGCGCCTTGATGATCCTGAATCGCGCCAGGCTGCCACTCCTGGGACTTCAACACCGCGAAACACAGTAACTGCTGCACCCTCACAATCCAGAATCTTTCCAAAACGCCATTTCTGGTACGATGACCACGGGAAGCATTGAAACTGTTGCAAATGTTTGAAAAGAGCGTGCGCGGCGCTAACTCGAAAACCACACGTTGAAAACTGGCCGTCGCCAATCCGCGAGACTCTTGCAAATCTCAAATAAACGCAACGAATGCGCGCGGCGCCGAGGCGAGGACCACATTTAGAAAACCACCCGCCCTCGATCCGTGAAGCTCTGGCAAACATTACAGTGAACGTGCGCGGCGCTGAGGCGAGAACCACATGCTGAAAAGACTGGCCGCCCTCGGTCCGTGAAGCTCCTCCACTCTGTTCAAACGAGTGTGCGCGGCGCTGAGGCGAGAACCACAGTTTGAAAACCACCCGCCATCAATCCATGAAACTCTTCCAGTTTGTTCATACGAATGCGCGCGGCGCCGAGGCGAGAACCAATTGCCCTTCATCCGTGACTTGTTCTTGCCATGAGTGAAGATGACTGTGCGCGGCGCTGATGCGAGAACCACGTGTTGAACATCGGGCGCCTTCCATCCATGAAGCTCTTGCTACTTTTTGGCAACGGACGCGCGCGGCGCTGTAGGCGAGAACCACATGTTGAAAACCACCCGCCAACCATCCGCGAAACGCTTTGCAAATGTTTCGCCGCCGCCGGCGTCGCGACCGCTGGCGACGGGCCTGCGTCGTGGCCGCAGTCGGCGCGGAGGAGGAGGAGGAGGAGGAGGAGGAGGAGGAGGAGGAGGAGGAGGAGGAGGAGGGTGGGGATCGAGGATCGGGGGGGAGGACTGGAAGGACAGCTCGACGAGGCGAGGAGGAGGATGGGGATCGAGGCTCCTCCCTCCTCCTCCTCCCTCCCTCCCTCCCTCCCTTCCTTCCTTCCTTCCTTCCTCTCTTCCTTCCTTCCTTCCTCCGCTCGAGGCGCGGCGCCGTGGCCTGCAGGCGGCGCTCCCGCGCCAGCAGCTCCGCGCCCTGCAGCCCCGCGGCGAGGGCCGAGGCCTCGCCCTCCAGCCGCGCGAGCTCGCGGGCCCGGCCCTAGCGCGGCAGGGGGCGGCGGTGGCGCTGGACGACGACGACGACGTCGACGACGACGTCGACGACGACGACGACGACGACGACGACGACGACGACGACGACGACGACGGCGGCGACGACGACGACGGCGGCGGCGGCGGCGGCGGCGGCGACAACGACGACGACGACGACGACGATGACGACGACGACGGCGGCGGCGGCGGCGGCGGCGACGGCGACTACGGCGGCGGCGGCGGCGACCACGACGACGACAGCTTCGATGATGAAGACGACGACTTCGATGCTCTGCACGCGGCCCCCGCGGGGGTCCACTGACCCGAGTCAATCCAGACACGGGTCAGTCGGGCCCTGCATCATCCTGCGCCCAATCCCGCGTCAGTGCGCCCCTGGCCCTGCATGATCCTGCAAGATCGGTGCTCTGCCGGACCCCCGACTGCACTGACCCCCGTCTCTCGAGCCCCCACAGGGGAGAACGGCCGCTGCTTCCTGCAAGATACGGCGATCCGGCTGACCCCGTTTGCATCGACCCCCGTCTCTTGAGCCCCGACGGGGGCGGAGGAGGAGGAATGGGATGGGGAGGAGGAAGTGGAGGAGGAGGAGAAGGAGGAGCAGGAGGAGATAAGGGAGAAGGAGGAGGAGGAGGACGAGGAGGAGGAGAAGGAGGAGAAGGAGGAGGAGGAAGAGGAGGAGGAGGAGGAACAGATGGAGGAGGAAGAGGAGCAGGAGGAGGAGGAGAACCTGAGGAGGAGGAGGAGGAGGAGGAGGAAAAGGAAGATGAAGGATGTGAGAGGAGGAGGAGGAGGAAAAGAAGATGGAGGCGGAGGAGGAGGAGGAGGAACAGATGGGGAGAAGAGGAGCAGGAGGAGGAGGAGGAGGAGGAGGAGGAGGAGGAGGGAGAAGAACCTGAGGAGGAGGAGGAGGAGGGAAAAGGAAGATGAAGGATGTGGAGAGGAGGAGAAGGAGGGAAAAGAAAGGATGCAGAGGAGGAGGAGAGGAACAGGAGGAGGGGGAGGAGGAGAGATGGAGCAGGAGGAGGAGAAGATGAAGGAGGAGAGGAGGAGGAGGGAGGAGGAGGAACACCTATTGAGGAGGAAGAGGAGGCGGAGAAGGAGAAGGAGGAGAAAATGGAGGAGGATGAGGACGACGAGGAAGGGAAGGAGGAGGAGGAGGTGGAAAAGGAGGAGGAGGAGAAGGATGATGATGAGGAGGAGGAAAACATGGAGGAGGGGAAGATGGAGCAGGAGGAGGAGGAGGAAGAGGAGGATGAGGAGGACGAGGAGGGGAAGGAGGAGGAGGAGGAGGAGGAGAAGATGGAGCAGGAGGAGGAGGAGGAGAAGATGAAGGAGGAGAAGATGGAGGAGGAGGAGGAGGAGGAGGATAACCCTGTGCCGATGATAAAAAAGGACCCTCCTTTTACACGCTAGAGTTGATTATCCACGGCCACGAAGAGTTTGGTCAGGGGCGCGGGGCGCGGAGGCCGAACTCTTCTACCACTGTGAAAAAACACAATCGAGGTCAACTTCCTTCTAATGTTGAGATAACAACATCGAACGAAGCGAAGACGTTGTCGAGGATGTCTCAAGCGAAACCAACAACGTTCTCTTTATCTCTCTCTCTCTCTCTCCCTTCTATCTGCTCTTCTCTTTCTCTTTCCGTTTCCTCCCCGTTGCTCCTCCTCCTCCACCTCTCTCCTTCTGTCTGTCTATCTTTCTCTACTTCTGGGATCTCGATCCTCGATCCTCGGACTTCGATTCTCGATCCTCGGCTGTCGGTCCTCTTAACATCATCTCTTTCTCCTCTCACATGCTGGCCTCCGGTAGGCAACATTTATAATCCCCCCTGCGACCCCGAACTTTATTATCCCTGTGGGATTAATCTCGGCAGCACACGGTTAATATGCAGGTGGAGGAGAGGGAGAAGGAGGAGGACGAGGAGGGGGAGGAGAAGGAGGAGGATGAGGAGGAGCAGGAGGAGGAGGAGGAGGACGAGGACGAGGAGGAGGAGGAACACATGGAGGAGGAGGAGGAGGAGGAGGAGGAGGAGGAGGAGGAGGAGGAGGAGGAGGAGAAGATGGAGCAGGAGGAGGAGGAGAATATGGAGGAGGCGGAGGAGGAGGAGGTGGAGGAGGTGGAGGAGAAGATGGAGGAGGAAGAGGAAGGAGGAGGATGAGGAGGAGGAGAAGGTGGAGAGTGTGGAGGGGGAGAGAGAACCATGGAGGAGAGGGGGAGGATGCGGAGGCGGAGGAGGAGGAAGGGAGAGAGTAGATGGAGGAGGAGGAGGTGAGGAGGAGGAGGGGGAGGGAGGAGGAGGAGGAGGAGGAGGGAAGGAGGAGGAGGAGGGAGGGAGAGGAGGAGAGTGGGAGGACGAGGAGGAGGCATGGATACTTGTTTTCCTCGGGCCCGCGAGCCCCTGCCGAACCCGAGCTGCGCCTCGCCCTCGGTGCCTCGGCGGTGCTCTTTTGCCGCGGGGCCTCGGCCCGCGGCCCGCCGCGGGGGGCTCTCGAGGGGCCCAGGCCACTGCAGGGCACCACCGGGGACGCTCCTGCTCCTCCTCCTCCTCCCCCTCCTCCTCGTCCTCCTCCTCCTCCTCCTCCCCCTCGTCCTCCTCCTCCTCCTCCTCCTCTCCTCGTCCTCCTCCTCCTCCTCCTCCTCCTCCTCCTCCTCGTCCTCCTCCTCGTCCTCCTCGTCCTCCTCGTCCTCCTCGTCCTCCTCGTCCTCCTCCTCCTCCGGCCAGCGCGGCGCGAGCAGGTCTCACAGGGGCGTTCCGCGGCCCCGCTGGGGCGAAACGCTGCCCTGCCGCCTGGAGGCGCTGCTCCGCCGTCGGGGCGCAGATCGGCCGGAAAGCTCACATCCCTGCGCCGTGCAGTGGCACGTCGGGGTGCAGACTCTCTGGCCGCCAGGGGGCGGGCGTCGCCGACACGTGCACATCGCAAGCGGCCTGCACAAATACATCTGGCGGCCTGCAAAAATACATCTGGCGTGCAACGTCTGCTGCCCCGTGAACAGCTTATGCTGCAACTCGCACACAACTAAGGATCGGCCACACAGAAGTTTCAACAACGAAGTTGCGTCTACAACGAAGAGCGCACAACCTTCGACGTCGACAACGAACGTTTAAGACGAAACTGGTGCCAACCTTGGCGGCGATCGAGGGGGGACATGAGGAGGAGGATACCTTCTCAAAAGGCGGCGGGGCTTCTCAGAAGCCCTCCCTGCCTTCCGAGACACCGCCTCTGCCTTCGGAGAAACCTTAGAAGACTCCTCAGAAGGCCGGTGAACTTCCGAGGAGGAGGAGGAGGAGGAGGAGGAGGAGGAGGAGGAGGAGGAGGAGGAGGAGGACGAGGAGGAAATGGAGGAGGAGGAGGTGCTGGAGGAGGAAGAGAAGAAGGAAAAGCCTCCTGAGCAGGCCCGCTCCCTCTCACTTCCCCCTGGGCGCGCCGCCGACAAACGCAAGACCCGAACCAGGCTGAACAGTGCCGTTGTCGGCTCACGCATACAAGCCGCCAAGTTGCGTCCACAGCGAAGACCGGCACGACACCCGACGTCCGAAATGAACGTTTCGATCGAAACCGGCGCCAAGCGAAAGGCCCAAGCCAGGCTACACGGCGCTGCGGTCGGCCCCTGCATGCAGGTCCACGCAGCAGGGGACGGCCGCCCCCAAAACGGGGCGGAGCGGTGGATCTTATGCCGCTCGCCGTCCGCATCTCAGGCCGATGAGCTTCCGAGCCTGCTGAGCAGGCCTGCCCCTTCTCACTTCCCCCTGGGAGCGGCGCCGACAGACGAAAGGCCCAGGCCAGGCTGAGCAGAGCCGCGGTCGGTCCCCGCATGCGAGTCGCCCACGACGAGGGCAGCGACGACGACGCGGAGGGACGACGACGATTCGGAAGCACGACGACGAGGACGACAAGGACGAACACGACGACGACGATGACGATGATGAGGATGACGACGAGGGACGAGGGCGAGGGCGAGGACGACAACGAGGGACGACGACGACGAGGACGACGACGACGACGACGGCGTCGAGTGGAGACGAGGACGTCGACGGGACGACGACGAGATGACGACAACGGGGACTGACGACGTCGGAGACGACACGAGGACGACGACGACGACAAGGACGAGACGACGACGACGAGGACCTGACGAACACGACGACGACGAGCCGACGAGGACGTGAGCCGACGACGACGTTCGACCAAGGGGGGCGGGGGGGAAAGGGAACGGTGTGAAAGAAACACAAGGGGCGTGTGGAGAGACCTGGGAGATGTGTGTCCCTTGCCAACAGGAATCCCACAGCCCTCTGGGTCGGGTGTTCTAGAGAGTTTCCTCTTCAAGCCTTCTTCCCCTTCGGGAAGGGTTTATCCACCCCCACTGTTCCCTATTAATAAACACCCCCTCCCCAGGCGACTGGGGGCCAGCCAGGGTCCATGACGACACCCGCCCACCATTCCTTTTAAACAAACAATGCAAACCACACCCTGCCTCCAAATTCGGAACATGCGCAGCCAACCCGATGCGCCCCCCCCCCCACCACCCCTGTCAAACAGCAATACATAGTACACTACACTTGGCGGCGGCGGAGGCTGCGGCGGCTGCGGCGGCGGCTGTGCGGCGGCGGCTGCGGCTCGGATGCGCGGCGGCGGCGGCGGGCGGCTGGCGGGGTGGCGGCAGCTGGCTGCGGCGGCGGTTTGGCAGCGGGGGGCGACGCGGCGGCCGGCGCAGGCGCGGCGGGGGTTGGGCGGCAAGCGGCAGGGGGCGGCGGCGGCGGCAGGCGGCGGCGGGCGGCGGCGGCGGCGGCGGCAGGCGGCGGCGGCGGGCAGCGGCGGCGGCGGCGGCGGCGGCGGCGGCGGCAGATTGGCCCCCAGTAGCTGCCCATCCAGAGACGACTGCTGAATATGCTCAGGCTCGGGCCAGACTCGGGTGCTACGTATGTGTTGGGGGGGCGGGTGGGAGTGAGCGAGACGGCTTGCGGGCGGGGAGGGGGTCTTGACCCCTCCCCCTCCCCCCTCCCCTGGACCTGGACGGATGGTTCCGCGGGTCGTTGGGGTGTTCAAGATGGCCCAAGACGGCTCCAAGAGCGAAAAGGCGAGAAAGCAATCAAACATCGATTTCCCCAGGTTTTGGAAGGATGTTGGCCTCTTTGGGGACCCAAGAGGCGATTCGAGGCACT